TTATTGGAGATGTTAGTCATGGGTTGTGTGAAGAGAACCGGATTTTTGTGTACACTGTATGTAGTATACAGTTAGAGTAAAGTTCGGGCATTGTGGTATATTACAAATTGTGTATTCCTACAGAGACGCAGGTCGCCTCTACCTTGTTTCATGCCACATTGTCCTTGCTCCTTGATGCCAGGTGCCACCTGGACGGTGTGTCGCCACCTGCATGTGTAGTCCACGCTTACCTGATACACCTGCATGTGTAGTCCACGCTTACCTGATACACCTGCATGTGTAGTTCACGCTTACCTGATACACCTGCATGTGTAGTTCACGCTTACCTGATACACCTGCATGTGTAGTTCACGCTTACCTGATACACCTGCATGTGTAGTTCACGCTTACCTGATACACCTGCATGTGTAGTTCACGCTTACCTGATACACCTGCATGTGTAGTTCACGCTTACCTGATACACCTGCATGTGTAGTTCACGCTTACCTGATACACCTGCATGTGTAGTTCACGCTTACCTGATACACCTGCACCTGTATGTGTAGTCCACGCTTACCTGATACACCTGCATGTGTAGTTCACGCTTACCTGATACACCTGCATGTGTAGTTCACGCTTACCTGATACACCTGCATGTGTAGTTCACGCTTACCTGATACACCTGCATGTGTAGTTCACGCTTACCTGATACACCTGCATGTGTAGTTCACGCTGCATGTGTAGTCCACGCTTACCTGATACACCTGCATGTAGTCCACGCTTACCTGATACACCTGCATGTGTAGTTCACGCCTTACCTGATACACCTGCATGTGTAGTCCACGCTTACCTGATACACCTGCATGTAGTTCACGCTTACCTGATACACCTGCATGTGTAGTCCACGCTTACCTTATACACCTGCATGTGTAGTTCACGCTTACCTGATACACCTGCATGTGTAGTCCACGCTTACCTTATACACCTGCATGTGTAGTCCACGCTTACCTGATACACCTGCGTACGTGTAGTCCACGCTTACCTGATACACCTGCATGTAGTCCACGCTTACCTGATACACCTGCATGTGTAGTCCACGCTTACCTGATACACCTGCAGCTTACCTGATACACCTGCATGTGTAGTTCCACGCTTACCTGATACACCTGCATGTGTGAGTTCACGCTTACCTGATACACCTGCATGTGTAGTCCACGCTTACCTGATACACCTGTATGTGTAGTTCACGCTTACCTGATACACCTGCATGTGTAGTTCACGCTTACCTGATACACCTGCATAGTGTAGTCCACGCTTACCTGATACCCTGATACCTTATGCACCTGCATGTATTGTACCTACCTGATACACCTGCGTGTGTAGTCCACGCTTACCTGATACACCCGCAATACCCGCACAGCTGAGTCCGCACCTGCATGTGTAGTCCGCGCTTACCTGATACACCTGCATGTGTAGTCCACGCTTACCTGATACACCTGCATGTGTGGTCCACGCTTACCTGATACACCTGCATGTGTAGTCCGCTTACCTGATACACCTGCATGTGTAGTCCACGCTTACCTGATACACCTGCATGTGTAGTCCACGCTTACCTGATACACCTGCATGTGTAGTCCACGCTTACCTGATACACCTGCATGTGTAGTCCACGCTTACCTGATACACCTGCATGTGTAGTCCACGCTTACCTGATACACCTGCATGTGTAGTCCACGCTTACCTGATACACCTGCATGTGTAGTCCACGCTTACCCTATACACCTGCATGTGTAGTTCACGCTTACCTGATACACCTGCATGTGTAGTTCACGCTTACCTGATACACCTTCAAGTGTAGTGGGCGATTACCTGATACACCTTCAAGTGTAGTGGGCGATTACCCGATGCACCTGCAGGCGAAACGTAGTGCTACACCGATACACTACTGTAGCCGTTGGAGACGTCAGAGTGTGCAGTGATCAACGTATAGAGTACGGGAACACCTCTCAGCAGTTTATCAACAGTCAGTTTGTTTGTGATGAATCCCTTTAGCCAGTTTAACTCGACTCCGTCCACACAACACACTGTATACGACGGACGTTGTTGGTTGTATGACCACCACACGTGTAGGTAGTGAGTAGTGTAGGTAGTGACTGACTGACTGACTGAGTTTGGTTTTACGCCGCTTTTAGCAATATTCCAGCAACATCACGGCGGGGGACACCAGAAATGGGCTTCACACATTGTGCCCTTGTGGGGATTCGAACCCGGGTCTTCGGCGTGACGAGCCAACGCTTTAACCATTAGGCTACCCCACCGCCCCCGTTTAGGTAGTGAGTAGTGCAGGTTCGCTGAGTAGTATGGCATATATAAGACCTAGACAAACTAATGCGAGGCTGGAGTCAATCGGGGTTACTTCATGACAAGGACCAGATGGCCATGTTGATTCAGCAGGCTGTATCATGGTGTTGAGTCAGTCGGTAACATCACGTTACCTACAAAACCATTAAATATGTTACTGTTTCCACAAATGAACACATTAGTGAATGATATCCTAAGTTCAAGTGCAAAGGGCCACACTATATACGTGTGCTACATCTGAACATTTTCTGTGCTGTTTTTACGAAGATATCACACAAAATAACCTGTATTCGTAAGTAAATTGTAACTCCCAAATGTTACCTACAAGTACCAACAACTGATCACATTCAAATAGATTGGTGGAATGACAACACGTGACATGTGTTCCATTTAGAGGTCATCATAGATGAGACCAGACAATATCTGGGTGATTAGTAAGTGTGTTTTACATTTTCGGCAAGAATGTTATATAAATAAACCCATGTCACAATAACATAGGATGCATATGTCACCTGTTACAACTAACCAACTTTAAGTTTAGTGAGTTTTTAAGTCCTATTATTGTAAAAAAGGCCTCAGCTGACTGTAAGTGGAATTGACATGGGGGCTCAAATTGGTAAGACATGATGTTCCGCTGGGATTTCCCCGGTTGTGGCTCACGGCATTTGTAGATAACATGTATTCGTTGTTAACAAAATGAAATAGAAAACACAATACGCTAGAATAACATAATTTATACTGGAGACAATTATTGCAGATCATTACACTGATTAGGTACGCAGTACTGCCTATTAATAGATTGAAATGGTTCCTTGGAATTTCAAATGGCTGCATAGCTGAGCGTTCAATAAAAATTTTCTATTCAGGGATGCACTGCAGTTCGTGGTTTAGACTTTATTATATTGATATATAATGAATTCGTTTTGATTGAAATGTCAGAAAACAAGTTGATCTTGGTGATAAATGCTTGCATGATATCACGGGATAAACGGTAGATTCGTAGGTAGCATGTGTATTCGTTGGTAACATTCCGTATTTGTAGGTAACATCAGTCAGTGTGTTTGAAGTTGTAAGTCTTGTTCAGGGCTGTCACCAATTCACTTGCGAACATAGGAGGATTGAGACTGTAGTAGAAGTAAGTTGCATGGGTTCAGTAGTTATATTTGTCAAAGGTATGTCTTATTCGTAGGTAGCTCGTTTTTGTAGTTAAAACTTTCTGTAAATGTCTATCTAATAGCAATTGTCATTGCAAAATATGAGTAATTAAAGCAGTTCAGTAAGACGTATAATGTATTGATTGTTTGAGTGACATGTTTATCTGTACATAATGGTATATGGTAATAGTTCAAGCGTTTTGAACATTTGTGATGTGCTTTCTTTGAATACAAATGTCAGTTGAAACATTTAGCAAATAAAATTTCAGATGTAATGATTTTAATTCAATTTCTATACTTCTCATCAACAGTTTAGACTCACTAGTGTAAATATAGCCACTTACTTCAGGCGACTGTTTTAAATTAAATTTTGCAAAATATTCCATACTGTTTAAAGGTACTGTTTACACATGAGCTGATGTATTGTAAAACAAATTCGTAACTTTGAAAAGATAATTGTCATGAGTTCAATAAATGATAAAAGTCAGTGAAAATTGGCGAATTCTGAACCAAACTTTACACCAAAACGCAGCTGTTCACATGCACGATATTTGCACATGCTTTTCAGCAATTTGATGCATGTTCCTCGTGCAATTCATCTGCATAAGGTTTGCAGTTGGTTCCCCTAAGTTAGTGGGGAAATCAATCTTCGATGTGACCATATATTATATTGACATATACAAACATTTAAGAACTACAAGGAATTACGTGATATATATTACCTACAAACACATTGGTTTTATCTTCCACCCACAGTTTAGTTATTGATGTATTTTCAAATTTGCTGTACTTACCGAAAGTTCCACCCATTGTTTCTCAGATGAATAAGATAGATTTGTAATAATGATTTGTTTGTGAAAAGAACGCTAAGTGGTGCTATCTCATTTACATCAAACAAAGGAACTAAAATGGTTCTATTTTCGTAAAGCTTGAGGTTATAAAACATAAATGAATCCATGATATGCATATTGTGCATGCAGAACAACAGTGAATTTGGATGTTAGGCAACATACAACCCATCTAATCACAGGATATACAAGGTATGATGTCGGTATTTGTAGGTAATTTAGAAAATTGGCTTCAACTTCACTGATCCACCAACTTGTCACTATTAAAGATTAGTGATGGCAACTGATTTTCATAAGAGGTAAATATGTTGAGTTTACATTGGTAAACAGAATTACAAGGTGCAAGCAATTCTATTTTGGACACCTTGTACCAAGCTGTGTACACTTTTCGTTGGAATCGACCATATATGTGTGAGTGTAAGGTTTGTCGCAAACTTCTGGCAACAGAAAGTATTAGACACACACAATGGGTAAGCATGTTGCATTCCATTTGGAGAATCGAACCTAGGTTTTCGGTGGGACAACTGAGCGTTCTACCTATTTCACTACTCCACCATGACTTAATCTGGTGCAAGTAACATGTGGCAGCAGTTGTGTCCCTGTCTGTGATGTACAATTCTGTATGTTTCAGGTGTGTAATCATCACCAAGTGCTGCTGAAGGACGGACGGAGTCAAGATGAGTGGGCAGAACAACTACTCAGTTTTCTTGCAAACAACGGAACTCTTTACCAACGCTTCCGGCGCCCCTCAAGGAGATTCTAGCGTCAGCCTCACAGTCACAATTATCCTCGTCCTCATGTACATCCTCACCATCCTCGTCGCCGTCAGCGGGAACCTCGCCGTCTGCTACATCATCCTCTCCGACCACCGGATGAGGACAGTAACAAACCTCTTCCTCCTGACCCTGGCCCTGAGTGATATCATCAAGGCTGTGATCTGCAACCCGTTCTCTGTATTCGCTAACCTGAAGCTGTACTGGCCGTTCGGGAGTGTGATGTGCCCAGTGTGGCAGTACCTGCAGGTGGTCGCCGTGTACGTCAGCTCTCTCACCCTAGTCGCCATGAGTCTGGACAGGTTCGTCGCCATCTTATTCCCCCTAAAACCACGGATGTCAAAGAGTCGTCTGTTGGTTATAATTGTGTTAATTCTCTTCCTGTCCTGCGCGCTGCCTTTACCAACAGCCATCAAATCAAAGGTGACATTTCCCAAACCCCAGTTTCCCAATGACCCTTCATCCAATGGGCTCTGTCTGGAGAAATGGGACAATGACTTCCACAAGTATGTGTACAGTATGGGTATTATGGTAACACAGTACTTTTTACCCCTGTCGGTTCTGGCGTTTACAAACGGATGTATCGGATATGTCGTGTGGATTAAGAAGCCACCCGGAGAAGCGGACTCTGGACGGGACAACAGACTAGCTGCATCCAAGAGACGGGTAGGTTGTGTATGAACGGAATTCTACTCCTTCTTGACATCTGAGTTGGATACACAGAGTGCACCTGTTGAGTCAGTCAACGTGCTATCGCCTTGTGTATACACAGTGATAACATTCCTCTGCTAACTGTATATATGACATATGTTATATTTGGGATTACACTCCCCCCAAAAAGTGGGGCGGTGGGGTAGCGTAGTGGTTAAAGCGTTCGTTCGTCACGCCGAAGACCTGGGTTCGATTCCCCACATGGGTACAATATGTGAAGCCCATTTCTGGTGTCCACCGCAGTGATATTGCTGGAATATTGCTAAAAGCGGCGTAAACCTAAACTCACTCACTCACTCAAAAAGTACAGATTCTAGTGGAAGTCGCGATGGCTGAGCGGGTTAAGCGGCTGACTTTGTGTGCTGTAGATTAGGTGCCTGACTCTGAGGGTGTGGTTTGAATCCCCCAACAAAAGTACTAGAATGAACCCAACTAAAGTACTAGAATCTGTACTTTACTGAGAAAGTGTAGTCCCAACTATAACATATGTTACAATTGACTACATTCTAATTGGCATTGTGTATTTATGTGTAGATGACATTGTCGAATACGTTATACTCCTCCCCACAACACAAGTCGTAGTCAAGTGATACTTTCCCCCGCAGAACGTGTACAGTAGTCTCTGTGTGTTAATGATAGTGATCCCTGTATATTTGTGAGTAATACCTAATACGTTACACTGATACATCCATCCAACTCCACCCCACCCCACCCCGGCCCCCCGACTGCCTAGAACACACGCTGCATCCACATGATGCTATTCCCCTGGGGACTGTGTATATGAAACAGGTATTTAGTGATACTGCAACATACTGGCATGTGTATTATGCTATTTTCCTGCTGACTGGATCAAACACAATATATTTACGTGATACTGTTCCCCTGTGCACTCTTCATAGCCCACTGTGCACTTGGAGCAGAAATGGGACGTGTAGAGTTTCATAAATTGAGACAGATATTATGCCTATTTATCATGGGCGTTTTCTGTTGATGTGTATGAAGCATATCATTGGCTGTTAATGCACATAACTGTTCTACAGAGCGGTCATTACCGTTATGTTGGACGTTAACAACGATGGTTTCATGAGCAGTAATGGTCGTCATCTGGAGATCGCAGGGCAAGCCTACATTGTATCTGTGTGAGTCTCCTCGTCCTCCACTGATTCCCCAGGCATGTCATTGTTTCCACTTGTACAAAACGGCTTTTACAGTTGGAATAGCAAGACTTATCATACGTTGAGACTGCGTGGGGACATCAGGCATCAATGTCTGATTTATTCTGATCTCCATACCGAGGCACGTTGTGGAGCACCCGTCGAATAGTGTGCGGTTTTTTGCAACACAATGCACCTATGCACCAATCTGGCGATAGCTGCAATTTATCATTTTCGTGTTCACCAGATGTAGCGTTGTCAGATTTTACAATGGACACATAAAACAATTGATTATGGCGCCATGTCTGTCGTCAAGGCCTTTTGCAGCACGGCGAGGAATCGTTCCACATCTGTCATAATCAGGTTCTTCAGCATCGCTCTCAGAATTGTGTGAACCTCAGATTTATCACTATAGCCAGCAACCAGGTCAATCAACGCGGTCCATCTTAGACTCAGAAATCATGTGAGAACGCCTGTCTTGTCCGCTTGCCACATTGCTCAAGGAGACAGGCAGACAGACAGACCGACGGACTGAACGTATTGCAAGCTCGGTTAGAGCTATTTATGTTGAGGCCACCTCGTGTTAGGTTGTTGTGCAGCTGTGTTGAAGATGAATGAAATAAAGCGATATGGTTGTGTTAAGTTAACGAGTGTGTGAGAGAGACAATGGTCCAAGCAACTGATGTGCGTTCTGTCCATTGAATCCTTCCTTATTCGATAATTGTGGATAAATGTCTCCAAAATGTTAGTTTAAGTTGGACAAAATGCAATGGTGACCATTAACATCTGATCAGTAACACTATGTTACAACATGTATGCCCATTAACTAAGCCAGGTTTGCCTTCCACAGATGGTGAAGATGATCATCGTGGTGGTGGTGATCTACGCCGTGTGCTGGCTACCTCTACACGTCCTCACCCTGGTGGGGGACCGGGACCAGAGCATCTACAACAACAGCTACATGAACGTCGTCTTCCTCGCCATCCAGTGGCTGGCAACCAGTCACTCCTGCTACAACCCCTTTGTCTACTTCTGGATGAACCCAAAGTTTAGGAATGGTTTCAAGAGAATGTTGCGGTTCATTCAACTGCGGAAAATGAAGGAAAAAGACGTCAATGTCCCCTTCCACGCTGATCATCTGGACAGGGAGGCATCAAGTCATTTTGACTCATGTGGTTCCAGGTACTACCACAGCACAAGAACCGGCAGCAGTAACCACGTGCAGGGTGTGGACTGTATGTAGGTGATGTCATGCACAGAGTGTGGACTGTATGTAGGTGATGCCATGCACAGAGTGTGGACTGTATGTAGGTGATGCCATGTACAGAGTGTGGACTGCATGTAGGTGAAGCCATTTGCAGGATGTGGACTGTATGTAGGTGAGGCCATTTGCAGGATGTGGATTCCACGTACATAGTTTGGACTTTATGTAGGTGATGCCATTTGCAGGGTGTGGATTCCACGTACAGAGTGTGTTGACTGTATGTAGCTGCTACACAGTGGGTGATGCCATATGCAGAGTGTGGATTCCACATACAGAGTGCGGACTCTATGTAGGTGAAGCCATTTGCAGGATGTGGATTCCACGTACATAGTTTGGACTTTATGTAGGTGATGCCATGTGCAGAGCGTGGACTGTATGTAAGTGATGCCATATGCAGAGTGTGGATTCCACGTACAGAGTGTGGACTGGATGTAGGTGCTACTATAATGAAGTGTAAATCTTTGAATCCACTCTGTGGGTAAGCTCGCATATTTCAGTCGAAGGAACATTGGTGCATTCTGGGCAGCCGGAACGTCTGTTTTGCATCAAGGGCGTTTTACAGATTCCCTGTATACTAGCTTGGTGAATTCATTCCGGAACAGAATTTGTGTATTGTTTGAAAACAGGAGGCTACAGTGTTACCTTGCGTCTAACAGAGAATAGACACGCACGGATGTTGAAATGAATCTGTGAGCAATGTAAGCCTTCTTACTTGTACCTTGTGTGGTGATTAAACAGACCGAACTAAACACCAAACAACATGTTAGTTGCACATGAATAAAAAAAAAAGTTTGAATGGACTGAAATAAAAGGCAACTGTTTGGATTCCCAGTGAACGTCATGTGCTGACGTCGTGTGCTCTCTGCAGCCACCGAACTCGTGTCTGGTCAGAGGATGGGTTTTACGTACAGCTTCACACACGATTGGTTAACCCTATGTAACATTAACATGTGACATGAATCGCCCGGTACGATTCTGAATGGATGTATAGTTCACCGGTAATCATCGCCTCCAGCCTCCTCCCTCAGCACACCTTGTGTCTAACAGCTCCTATCACTGTATCAGGGACTGTTGTACCTCGAGGGGAACTGCTCTCACTGTCTTCAGAAGTCTAACAGCTCCTATCACTGTATCAGGGACTTGGTTGCTGACATGGGATTATCAAATCTAATACGTCATTTGATTCCTTGTAAGGGCAATATGTATTTACCGATGGTCAGTGATGATCACATGGAGCTGGATTTTCAAGTAGGATATCCATAATCTCACAACATGCCCATATATGGTATGTTCAACTTGTTTCTGTTCACATGCCAACGAACATACTAATATAAGGATATTTAGGGGTCAGTGTCTATTATAGTGGATGCCGTTATCGTCCTTGGTATTTCTACATACCAACGTCCGAGTGACTCAGATATCCCGCCAGAATTCAAAGTATGATGTTGCGCGTTAAATTTTGTTAAAATTATCTTGTGCTGGTAAACATTTGATGATGCGTCAGATTGGAAATGTCATCCATATGTCCACCAGAAACCAGAAACGTTAACTAAGCAATTAAATATACCCCTGATCAAACAATGCTGGACTACGAATCGTACTGCACTCTTTGAAACCTTCATAGAAAGATGATGTCCAACTGTACCTCAGAAGTTGGAAAATGGTGACACCACAACTAGAATACTGCTCTACTTAATAGCTGACTATTCGAAAGATGCACTTATGCCGCTTTCTTACTGTTTTAGGAATACTTGTTTGTCATTCTTTATGCATATGTGTTACTTATGAGTCAACTTCACTCATGTGTCTTATTTCTAGTTTGGGTAGGTTCGTCCTTGGCTATTTGACCGTCACTAAACATAAGATCATCAATGTACCTGAAGCTTACATCTGTGAAATTTCAGTGAGTTTAACAATCCGAGCAATATATCTGAGAAACAGATAAGCGACGAGGTTCAGTTGGTGCCCACTGAGATGTCCAGTTCTTGGCGAAAGGTCTGCTGACCAAATGTGACGCAGATCACACAGTCACAGATACGACACAGATGTCATCAATGAGGAAGTTCTGCAGATATACAGCACAGCACTCTTTAATGACATTTGCTATTGACAGTTCTGTGACTATATGCATGCTTTACGCTGTGGCTGTGTAAAGAGATATGTCTGCGGTACCACAGGACCTACACATCCTCTGTGTCGTGTCAACAGGCCCCCCAGGGACACCTAGACACATATTTGATATGACTTGTGACAAATGGTCATATCCTGTAAACCATTATGAATATACCGTGACATATGTTTGTCCGATTAAGAATGCTGTATATCATATGGTATGTCCGATTAAGAATGCTGTATATCATATGGTATATCCGATTAAGAATGCTGTATATCATATGGTATATCCGATTAAGAATGCTGTATATCATATGGTATATCCGATTAAGAATGCTGTATATCATATGGTATATCCGATTAAGAATGCTGTATACCATATGGTATATCCGATTAAGAATGCTGTATATCATATGGTATGTCCGAGGTGGTGGTGGAATTGGGTTTAACGTCGTGCTTGAGAATATTTCGCTCATATGACGACGTGCATGCGTGTGTATGTGTATGTGCGGTGGCTTGTACTAGCCCAGACTTAAGCTGGTTTTATAGTGCTAGCCCACTGAGATACAATGCCGCAGTGTAGCATGAATACCCCACTCAGACACATTATACTGACTCCGAGCCGACCAGTCCTTGTTGTACCCATTAATGCCGAGCACCAGGCAGGGACCAACAAGTACCATATTTTAACGTCTTTTGGTATGACGCAGTCGGGGATCGAACCCGCGACCTTCCGCACTCCGGGCGGACGCTCTAGCCACTACACCACGGAGGCGGTCGGTATGTCCGATTAAGAATGCTGTATATCATATGGTATATCCGATTAAGAATGCTGTATATCATATGGTATGTCCGATTAAGAATGCTGTATATCATATGGTATGTCCAGTTGAGAATCTTATATTTCATATGGTATGTCCAGTTGAAAATGTTATATATCATATGGTATATCCAGTTGAGAATGTTATACATCATATGGTATGTCCAGTTGAGAATGTTATATATCATATTGTATGTCCAGTTGAGAATGTTATATATCATATGGTATGTCTGTAACGAGTTGTGAATAAACAAAAGCGACAAAACCTTTTCCATGTTCATAATAGATCTGGCAATAGCAGAGTCGACATCACGGGCGTGCCTCCGTCATATACTGATTTCACCAGGATTGGTGGTGTTCGTGACGAGCTGAGCGTTGCTGTCCCAGCGGTTGCACCGTCATAAACACATGCAAAGGCAAGGCACTCGGTAACCTGAAAGAATTTCGAGATCCTATGTTGCATGTCAACATATGGGAATGCATCAGATCTAAAAGCTTTTAAGGGCCTTGAATCCTTGAATTTAGAAAACCTTGATAATTGAACAAAGTTTTAGCAAAGCGAGTATGACTTGTATGAATAGTGGTAGACAGTATGATTGTTAGAAAGTTGAAAACCTAAGCTTTTTATGCAAACATACTATGAAATACATTTATTTCAACTTCAGGTGGGTACATTACCAGAAGGGAATTGGCTAGATGATGGTTACTGAACGACATCAGATCATCGATATACATATCTTAAAATGAAGGACAAATTACCAGAACATCTGATTCATATGCATCAAGGAAAAAATCCTAACGTAGGTGAGCACAGTTGGTGACCACTGGGAGACCTACATTTTGTCATGCCATGTTATGCCATAAATGTTTCATGGCTCTTATCAACGAGAAGGTCCAGAATTTCACACACATGTGACAGTGTTGGTTTTCTCGGTAAACTTTACATGGTATTTCTTTCCAAATTTGAAAATTGTTCTGAAAATAGATATAGTCTAAACATATTCTTATTTCCAAAATGCAAGAAATGGGGATCGGCGAACAAGCCAGGGGATTATGCAAACACCTCTCCCGTACGACATAGGTGGAAGAAAACAGAACCGTGGTGACTTCCAAATAATCATTTGAGTGTTGTTGGCAAGTGTTATCACTATAGCAGCAACAATGTCGTATATCAGTCATAATTGGAACAGAATAGTAAAACGTATATGGCAAAATTATGGAACTATGTTTCATATCTTTGCATCTTGCGACATTATGGAGTTATATGTTTCGTATTTTAGCATTTAATGAAAGCAGGAAGTCTAGCTGATAAAGTTTAAAGCTGTGCGCTGATTTCAAGATTCCCATGTTCGTGTTTTAGTTTGAGCTGGAATGAAGGGAAAGAACATGTTTTAGATAAAACCTTTAGCAAAGTAATACAAATCTTGTGTGATCAAATCATAATCGATGTAGAGAAAGAAAATAGATATGTAGGTATATATATATACGCTCACAACGTTAAATAAACAGAGTATGTTGTTACTTAGGTGTTTTAGGTTAGAAGGTCGTTGAGTGCTGTTTAATCCACCAGTTTTAGTTCCGCTTGTCTCCAATACTTTCTATGAATATAAAGAAGATTTTCCTTGATAGTCTTAAGAACAAATGTGAAAGTAAATGATTTATTTCGAATGACAACTTGGTTATCTTACTACTGAAAGCAGCTTGAGCTGTATGCCTCAACATCAGTCGCGACCCAGGCCGTGAAGCCATCTCGAGCCTAAAGGGGGTTCAACTTGATATAAATACCGCGCCTGTGAAGCCAGCGCGAGCCTGGTGTGGGTTTAACTTGATATAAATACCGCGCCTGTGAAGCCAGCGCGATCCTGGTGGGGGTTCAACTTGATATAAATACCGCGCCTGTGAAGCCAGCGCGAGCCTGGTGTGGGTTTAACTTGATATAAATACCGCGCCTGTGAAGCCAGCGCGAGCCTGGTGTGGGTTTAACTTGATATAAATACCGCGCCTGTGAAGCCAGCGCGAGCCTGGTGGGGGTTCAACTTGATATAAATACCGCGCCTGTGAAGCCAGCGCGAGCCTGGTGTGGGTTCAACTTGATATAAATACCGCGCCTGTGAAGCCAGCGCGAGCCTGGTGGGGGTTCAACTTGATATAAATACCGCGCCTGTGAAGCCAGCGCGAGCCTGGTGTGGGTTTAACTTGATATAAATACCGCGCCTGTGAAGCCAGCGCGATCCTGGTGGGGGTTCAACTTGATATAAATACCGCGCCTGTGAAGCCAGCGCGAGCCTGGTGTGGGTTCAACTTGATATAAATACCGCGCCTGTGAAGCCAGCGCGATCCTGGTGGGGTTCAACTTGATATCAACTTGATATAAATACCGCGCCTGTGAAGCCAGCGCGAGCCTGGTGGGGTTAACTTGATATAAATACCGCGCCTGTGAAGCCAGCGCGATCCTGTTGGGGGTTCAACTTGATATAAATACCGCGCCTGTGAAGCCAGCGCGAGCCTGGTGTGGGTTTAACTTGATATAAATACCGCGCCTGTGAAGCCAGCGCGATCCTGGTGGGGGTTCAGCTTGATATAAATACCGCGCCTGTGAAGCCAGCGCGAGCCTGGTGTGGGTTTAACTTGATATAAATACCGCGCCTGTGAAGCCAGCGCGAGCCTGGTGTGGGTTTAACTTGATATAAATACCGCGCCTGTGAAGCCAGCGCGATCCTGTTGGGGGTTCAACTTGATATAAATACCGCGCCTGTGAAGCCAGCGCGAGCCTGGTGTGGGTTTAACTTGATATAAATACCGCGCCTGTGAAGCCAGCGCGAGCCTGGTGTGGGTTTAACTTGATATAAATACCGCGCCTGTGAAGCCAGCGCGAGCCTGGTGTGGGTTCAACTTGATATAAATACCGCGCCTGTGAAGCCAGCGCGAGCCTGGTGTGGGTTTAACTTGATATAAATACCGCGCCTGTGAAGCCAGCGCGATCCTGGTGGGGGTTCAACTTGATATAAATACCGCGCCTGTGAAGCCAGCGCGAGCCTGGTGTGGGTTCAACTTGCTATGAATATCGCGCCTGTGAACCCAGTGCGAGCCTGGTGGGGGTTTAACTTGGTATGAATACCGCATCAGTAAAGCCACCGCGAGCCTAGTGGGGGTTTAAGTTGCTATGAATACCGCATCAGTAAAGCCAGCGCAAGCCTAGTGGGGGTTCAACTTGCTATGAATGCCGCGCCAGTAAAGCCACCGCGAGCCTGGTGGGGTTTAACTTGCTATGAATACCGCATCAGTAAAGCCACCGCGAGCCTAGTGGGGGTTCAACTTGATATAAATACCGCGCCTGTGAAGCCAGCGCGAGCCTGGTGTGGGTTTAACTTGCTATGAATATCGCGCCAGTAAAGCCACCGCGAGCCTGCTGGGGGTTTAACTTGCTATGAATACCGCATCAGTAAAGCCACCGCGAGCCTAGTGGGGGTTCAACTTGATATAAATACCGCGCCTGTGAAGCCAGCGCGAGCCTGGTGTGGGTTTAACTTGCTATGAATATCGCGCCAGTAAAGCCACCGCGAGCCTGGTTGGGGTTTAACTTGCTATGAATGCCGCGCCAGTAAAGCCACCGCGAGCCTGGTTGGGGTTTAACTTGGTAGGAATACTGCGCTAGTGAAGACACCGCGAACCTGGTGTGGGTTTAACGTGGTATAAATACCGCGCTGGTGAAACCCTCCCGAGCCAGGTGTTGGTTTCACTTGGTATGAATACCGCGCTAGTGAAGCCACCGCGGACTTGGTGTGGGTTTATCTTGGTATGAATACCGCGCCTGTGTTCCTAGTTATGACAAACATGTCTAAGTGGCCACCGATTACATGACGTTCAAAGAGAAACGAAGACCTCCCAGTTATAAGTGCGACAGTTAGAGCCAATGGTTGGAATAACATCAAGCACTATTTCCCAGCACAAACTCAGCCAGTAAGCGACCTGTTCAAGAAAGACAGTTGTTTTACATTCCCGATCCTCTTAATGGCTTATCGATTAATGAGCAGTAGAGAAGCCTTTTCAGAAATTAGTCAGATTAGGGCTAATAAAGAAATGACTACACAGCAAATAACAAACTAATGGAAGCAATGCTCCTCGAAAAACTTAAACCTGGCATCTCGGTATACAAGTCTAGATACACACAAGGCGCACATTTCGATACACGTCTCCAACATATCTCCACATACAAGATTATATCTCGATGCACCCACCTATGATTCTAGAAAATGTGCGCTCTAAGAACGATTTGTGGAGCTGTGAGAGGAACTAGTCATGAAACAATCTACAAGGAGACCAATTGCATACTATTAATTAAGCGTAGAGAAATGAAGAAACTTACTTTATTCTACAAAATAAATATTAACCTTACTCAAACTACATACGTGATTTAATTCCAGAACATGTTTCAGTTTTAGGTTCTTACAATCTGAGAAATACTGATAGTATTCGCACAATTCCTTGCCATACAGCGTCGTATGCACGCTCCTTTTTATTCGTTCAAAACACGTTACAGACCAAACAAGGAAATATTTTCTTTAATAAAAACTTTGGATCTAGATTTTGTCAAAGAATCCATGCTCGCCTTAGGTTGGGTTGTAATGACTTGAACGCTCATTGTTTTGATAGACATATTTCAAATAATCCGAATTGTGCATGTCGGTATCCATGGGAAAATCATCTCTATTACTTCTTTTCTTGCCCCTGTTATGACTTAATAAGATCAGATAAATGTACACACACCACTATACACACATCTCGGTACACACAAACACACATCTCGGTACACAGAGGCACATCTTGGTACACAGAGGCACACACCACTATACACACATCTCGATACACACAGACACACACCACGATACACACGTCTCGGTACACACAGACACACACCACGATACACACGTCTCGGTACACACATACACACACCTCTTTACACACACAACTATGCTCACATCTCAGTACACACAGACACACACCTCTTTACACACATCTTGTTACACAGAGGCACACACCACTTTACACACATCTCGGTCCACACAGACACACACCTCTATACACACATTTTGGTACACACAGACACACACCACTATAGGCCTTACATTATATTGTGTAGCCTGTTATACTGTGTATGAGCTACTAAGTATGCCAAGTGGCAATGGTTGTTTTATTCAGTGTTACAGGTGGCAATGGTTGTTTTATTCAGTGTTACAGGTGGCACTGGTTGTTTTATTCAGTGTTACAGGTGGCAATGGTTGTTTTATTCAGTGTTACAGGTGGCACTGGTGGCATTCAGTGTTACAGGTGGCACTGGTTGTTTTATTCAGTGTTACAGGTGGCAATGGTTGTTTTATTCAGTGTTACAGGTGGCACTGGTTGTTTTATTCAGTGTTACAGGTGGCACTGGTTGTTTTATTCAGTGTTACAGGTGGCAATGGTTATTTTATTCAGTGTTACAGGTGGCACTGGTTGTTTTATTCAGTGTTACAGGTGGCAATGGTGAGGGTGTTATGTACTAAAAGTGTTTCCAGGCGAGAATCTCCAGGTGATCAAGGTGGCATGCTGGTGACATTGTGTTTGCATTGAAGAGGTCGGAATGCTGCATGGACAAGGAACTTGTTTCAGCTTTTCCAGAAACAACTTCGCTGCCCACACTCAGGGAGAGAGGCGTCCCTGTCCGAGGGAGGAGGTGCTGCACCAGTATTTCTAAATGGATCCACAGGTGGAGATTTTACTGCCACAAAATGCATAGCAATGGTTCAGCATCGACTTAAAGAAGCGGCTGTAAAATTCTCCAAACTTCTGATGACAATTCTGTGTACCGTGGACCCCACCGTACAATAATAACGCCATAGAGAGTTTCGATGTTATATTGTAAGTCTCCGATGTATCTCTAGAACCTGGGTGGACCTTACGAAGAAACAGGGTAGAAACAAAACAGATATCCATCTGGAGCACGTACGAAGAAACGATCACTTGGAAACACATGTGCAATGAAGCAAAATGGCCATTGCTTCGGAATTCACTTTGAATTCCCATATATACAACCCCTCTCTGTTCACTGAGTTGTTAGTAGTGAGCGCTACGACCCAAACACACCTTATAAAATAAAAGTACACAACAGAAAGTCCACAAAAGGTTGATTTAACATCTTGTTCCTGCATGACATGTTAGCTTATCTCGGCTGTCACGGGGCGACAGTAGTTGCTCAGAACCATGCATTTGTGTTAGACACGAGATATCAACATTACAAACACTTTGCATTTCTGTGGGTAATATAAGTATCATACATTCCTGTATCAGGCTCCTCATTTCTGGATGAATATGTCTGTGTGTCCACTTAAATAACCACACAAACGTGTTCTATAGCCATGTAGAGTCGAGGAGTGTCTGCTCTAGAACTCGCTCGGTCAGACTACACTGGAATATTCTCGTTGACTCATACAGGCCAGTCTTACTCCAAATACAGTCACCACTGTCCGCTTCTGAAACTTGGAACACAGAAACAATGCAGTTCACTTATAACATTGTTCCACAGTGGGTAGCAGTGTCCAGTAACACTCCGAACTGGTTCATAATCACAATTATAAACACACAACACACTTGATGTAATTCACGTCTACATACGTAGAATATTATATAACTATGAGGAATGTGTATAGTTTTCAGCAGTAGTGTTGAGTACGTTTTCTGTTAACGGTACAGGCTAGGTGTAGCCATTAGCGTGTGCATGGTTGTATAGTGAAGGAACCCTAACTAGAACTGCACCGATAGACACGATCATCACAAGGCAGCACCGATAGACACGATCATCACAAGGCAGCACCGATAGACAAGATCATCACAAGGCAGCACCGATAGACACGATCATCACAAGGCAGCACCGATAGACACGATCATCACAAGGCAGCACCGATAGACACGATCATCACAAGGCAGCACCGATAGACACCGATAGACACGATCATCACAAGGCAGCACCGATAGACACGATCATCACAAGGCAGCACCGATAGACACGATCATCACAAGGCAGCACCGATAGACACGATCATCACAAGGCAGCACCGATAGACACGATCATCACAAGGCAGCACCGATAGACACGATCATCACAAGGCAGCACCGATAGATCACAAGGCAGCACCGATCATCACAAGGCAGCACCGATAGACACGATCATCACAAGGCAGCACCGATAGACACGATCATCACAAGGCAGCACCGATAGACACGATCATCACAAGGCAGCACCGATAGACACGATCATCACAAGGCAGCATGCTGATGAAAATATCACTCTGGTGGTTGCATATTGGTTTTGGACAAAGAAAACGGATTTCCGGTGCATGACCATTCCAATATGTTTGCTGCTAAATCGTGTAGTTCATAGCGTCGGAATTAAGTGTGGAATATCGCTTCCTTGGTGATAAAACCGATAGAACTTTAACGTTATCTTAATGGGTACATTCTATTCATAGTTGGTTCACGTATGCTTTGCTATTTGAACAACCTCGAAATTAAACATTTTACCGTACATAGCAAAATGTCGTGTTCATGACAGGCATTTAAAACACAAACACCTGACCCTATGACACCGTTAGTTCCGTCAACCTGTCAATAAAACAGGTCAGGTGACTTAGATGATAAACAAATGCCAGTGCCTGTGACGATGTGTACTTCTAGTATTTATCTATCTAGTTCACAGTGATATTCCTTCCACGCTGCGGGAATGGTGACGTGTACGCCGATTCTGCTGTCCCTCGCCGTCTGTGGTTTGTAGCTAGAATACACAACTATATTCAACTGATTTCAGTTCAAATGTAAGATCGGTAATCAGCATTGATTCATCAGGATTGAGAGTATTTAATGTATATAGATTTGATGCCATGTTTTCGGGAATCTACTGTGGCCTGTTTGTGTTCATGTGTCATTTAGGTATCATCATTTAGGTAGTTCTTTAAAATTGTTTTCCCAGAAGTTGAGGGATGGCAAGGGAGACACAATTTATAGACAACAACTTCCTCTGTACTTCACTGAAACAGCAGCTGACATCAGATATCATGTCACTGTAACCCTACATAGATAGCGCTCCTCCTGTCAGGGAACCTATGTAATGACATGTATAACTGTCTTTAGAAGGATGTTTTAGATAGCTATGTGCTTCAATAGAAATATAACGTCGTCAACTATGTACTTGTTAATTATGTTAGTAGTGAGTGGGTTAGTGAGTTTAGTTTTACGCCGCACTCAGCAATACACCAGCTATATGGCGGCGGTCTGTAAATAATCGAGTCTGGACCAGACAATCCAGTGATCAACAGCATGAGCATCGATCTGCGCAGCTGGGAACCGATGACATGTGTCAACCAAGTCAGTGAACTTGACCACCCGATCCCGTTAGTCGCCTCTTACGACAAGCATGGGTTACTGAAGATCAATATTGTACAACGAGGAGAGTTCTATGGATATACAACTTCTTTAATATAATATGAGCGACGTTTCGGTGTAGCTACTAACAGCGGTATCAAGCAAATGATGTACAATACTAGAGGCAAGGTATATATACATAGTAAAGTTGAACAGTAAGTGATTGATGTTTGCACAATTCTCTGTTTCTTCCTCCATGGTAAACTTCATGCGAGGGTGTTGAGGATGATAAAGGTGTCATCAACTTCTCTATACCAGCAGATAGGGGAGATTGGCGATGTCTGTAGGGCTCTCTCTTCTAGGTCTGTCATATATATCTCTGTGATGATGGGTGAGAGGTTTCATCCCATGGGGAGTCCATGGGATTGTTGCAGGATCTTGTCTTGCCAGGTGAAATACGTTGAGTTGATGCAGGAGTTGATGAATCGGATGCTGCTGTCAGGAGTGAGGTGGGTATCTAAGGTGGTATGGATTTCCTCTAATCTACTTCTAAAGATGGCTAGACAACCAGCTAGCTTTCCTCGATGTCAGAATAGAGAAAGAAAACAACAAGCTCCAGACCAGTGTGTACCGTAAGCCCACTCCCATACTGATCAGTATCTTCACCACTCATCTAACCACCCCCCACAAGTCAAGAGAGGAATAATAGCTACACTAACCTGACGTGCCAAAAACATCAGCTCCACATCACAACAACTGGAAGCTGAACTTCAACATCTTCGCCATGTCTTTAAGACCTACAACAACTACCCTGCCAGCCTTGTAGACCGCACCATCAACGCCACCCTCAACCCGATAAACAAGCCCCCACGCCAACAAACAGCTCCGTTCATCATGAGCCTGCCCTATATAGGTTCAGCAAGCCACCAGATCAGCCGACTCTTAAAACACCAAGTCAACATTGATGTTGTGTTCCAGAGAGGTACTACTATACAGAACCTCCTAAAAGCCAATGGCAGACCAACCCCCACAACTAAAGAAGACCCCCTCAGGCACAGTTTACCACATAAAGTGTGACTGTGGAGACTCGTACATCTGTTAAACCTCAAGACCCTTCCCTGTAAGAATCAAAGAACATCAAGCCTCTGTGAAGAAGACTCCAATTCCGCCATCTCTGACCACACCCAAGCTCACCCAGACCACAACATCCTATGGAACAGCATCAATGTACTCACCAGTAACCACACCCACTACAAGATCAGAAAGCTACTAGAGGCCATTCACATCAAGAGACTCCAACCGGCCATGAACAGAGACCAAGGATATTACATTCCCACTGCATACAACCAACTCATCACCAAGCAATCTTAATCCCATTATTCTCCTGTCTGTCATATCACTGGCTTCCGCCCAATAATCCCCCATAGCTTACTCCAACCTTGTACATCAACCTCATTAATTGTGCAAACATCAATCACTTACTGTTCAACTTTACTATGTATATATACCTTGCCTCTAGTATTGTACATCATTTGCTTGATACCGCTGTTAGTAGCTACACCGAAACGTCGCTCATATTATATTAAAGAAGTTGTATATCCATAGAACCCTCCTCGTTGTTCATCACACCAACTTCTAAATGCCACTCAAACAAGTTATCAATATCGTAACCCGGACCTTCACGGGTCACCCGGACCTTCACGGGTCTAATTATGTTAGTAAGTGTCAATATACTAATAAGGAGTGCTGGTCCGTACACGATGCTATTAAATGTCCTCGCGATGAGTGTTAAGTTCAAGACTTAGGTTAGTCAAGATGCAGTACGTCTTCAGGTGTCTGACAGAAACACACTGTTTAACACTACCTACCCATCTACCTACCCATCTAACAATCTACCCTCCTACCACACCTCCGGGATCTGTGGAGATGGTGGTTCCCAACATGGTATTCTATATACTGGTTCAGTGGGTGTCAGTGTTGACTTGATGTTATAGTATAAGGAAGTTGTTATTCATACATTGAGTCAACTGTGCACTTGATCTGCTTTAGTTGTTCTTGTGAGCGGCGAGATGTGCGTGCTGCCCTCTAACTGCACAGTTACGACGTGTGCGACAGGAGACTCCCCGCACTGCCTGGACAACCTGTGTACCTGCCTCGGCCTCTGTGACCCCCAACCCGAACATGGCGAGTAGTGACCCCTCCCCAACACAGTTCAATCCTGTCCCCTGTACCTGCCTCGGTCTCTGTGACCCCCAACCCGAACATGGCGAGTTGTGACCCCTTCCCAACGCAGTTCAATCCTGTCCCCTGCACCTGCCTCGGTCTCTGTGACCCCCAACCCGAACATGGCGAGTTGTGACCCCTTCCCAACACAGTTCAATCCTGTCCCCTGTACCTGCCTCGGTCTCTGTGACACCAGCCCGAACATGGCGAGTTGTGACCCCTTCCCAACACAGTTCAATCCTGTCTCCCGTACCTGCCTCGGTCTCTGTGACACCATCCCGAACATGGCGAGTTGTGACCCCTTCCCAACACAGTTCAATCCTGTCCCCTGTACCTGCCTCGGTCTCTGTGACCCCAACCCGAACATGGCGAGTTGTGACCCCTTCCCAACACAGTTCAATCCTGTCTCCCGTACCTGCCTCGGTCTCTGTGACACCATCCCGAACATGGCGAGTTGTGACCCCTTCCCAACACAGTTCAATCCTGTCTCCCGTACCTGCCTCGGCCTCTGTGACACCAGCCCGAACATGGCGAGTTGTGACCCCTTCCCAACACAGTTCAATCCTGTCCCCTGTACCTGCCTCGGTCTCTGTGACCCCCAACCCGAACATGGCGAGTTGTGACCCCTTCCCAACACAGTTCAATCCTGTCCCCTGTACCTGCCTCGGTCTCTGTGACCCCAACCCGAACATGGCGAGTTGTGACCCCTTCCCAACACAGTTCAATCCTGTCTCCTGTACCTGCCTCGGTCTCTGTGACACCATCCCGAACATGGCGAGTTGTGACCCCTTCCCAACACAGTTCAATCCTGTCTCCCGTACCTGCCTCGGCCTCTGTGACACCAGCCCGAACATGGCGAGTTGTGACCCCTTCCCAACACAGTTCAATCCTGTCCCCTGTACCTGCCTCGGTCTCTGTGACCCCAACCCGAACATGGCGAGTTGTGACCCCTCCCCAACACAGTTCAATCCTGTCCCTGTACCTGCCTCGGTCTCTGTGACCCCCCATCCCGAACATGGCGAGTTGTGACCCCTTCCCAACACAGTTCAATCCTGTCCCCTGTACCTGCCTCGGTCTCTGTGACACCAACCCGAACATGGCGAGTTGTGACCCCTTCCCAACACAGTTCAATCCTGTCCCCTGTACCTGCCTCGGTCTCTGTGACACCAGCCCGAACATGGCGAGTTGTGACCCCTCCCAACACAGTTCAATCCTGTCTCCTGTACCTGCCTCGGTCTCTGTGACCCCAACCCGAACATGGCGAGTTGTGACCCCTCCCAACACAGTTCAATCCTGTCCCCTGTACCTGCCTCGGTCTCTGTGACCCCAACCCGAACATGGCGAGTTGTGACCCCTCCCAACACAGTTCAATCCTGTCTCCTGTACCTGCCTCGGTCTCTGTGACACCAGCCCGAACATGGCGAGTTGTGACCCCTTCCCAACACAGTTCAATCCTGTCTCCTGTACCTGCCTCGGTCTCTGTGACACCATCCCGAACATGGCGAGTTGTGACCCCTTCCCAACACAGTTCAATCCTGTCCCCTGTACCTGCCTCGGTCTCTGTGACCCCCAACCCGAACATGGCGAGTTGTGACCCCTCCCCAACACAGTTCAATCCTGTCCCCTGTACCTGCCTCGGTCTCTGTGACCCCAACCCGAACATGGCGAGTTGTGACCCCTTCCCAACACAGTTCAATCCTGTCTCCTGTACCTGCCTCGGTCTCTGTGACACCATCCCGAACATGGCGAGTTGTGACCCCTTCCCAACACAGTTCAATCCTGTCCCCTGTACCTGCCTCGGCCTCTGTGACACCATCCCGAACATGGCGAGTTGTGACCCCTTCCCAACACAGTTCAATCCTGTCCCCTGTACCTGCCTCGGTCTCTGTGACACCAACCCGAACATGGCGAGTTGTGACCCCTTCCCAACACAGTTCAATCCTGTCCCCTGTACCTGCCTCGGTCTCTGTGACACCATCCCGAACATGGCGAGTTGTGACCCCTTCCCAACACAGTTCAATCCTGTCCCCTGTACCTGCCTCGGTCTCTGTGACCCCAACCCGAACATGGCGAGTTGTGACCCCTCCCCAACACAGTTCAATCCTGTCTCCCGTACCTGCCTCGGTCTCTGTGACACCATCCCGAACATGGCGAGTTGTGACCCCTTCCCAACACAGTTCAATCCTGTCTCCCCTGTACCTGCCTCGGTCTCTGTGACCCCAACCCGAACATGGCGAGTTGTGACCCCTTCCCAACACAGTTCAATCCTGTCCCCTGTACCTGCCTCGGTCTCTGTGACACCAACCCGAACATGGCGAGTTGTGACCCCTTCCCAACACAGTTCAATCCTGTCTCCTGTACCTGCCTCGGTCTCTGTGACACCATCCCGAACATGGCGAGTTGTGACCCCTTCCCAACACAGTTCAATCCTGTCCCCTGTACCTGCCTCGGTCTCTGTGACACCAACCCGAACATGGCGAGTTGTGACCCCTTCCCAACACAGTTCAATCCTGTCCCCTGTACCTGCCTCGGTCTCTGTGACCCCATCCCGAACATGGCGAGTTGTGACCCCTTCCCAACACAGTTCAATCCTGTCCCCTGTACCTGCCTCGGTCTCTGTGACCCAACCCGAACATGGCGAGTTGTGACCCCTTCCCAACACAGTTCAATCCTGTCTCCTGTACCTGCCTCGGTCTCTGTGACACCATCCCGAACATGGCGAGTTGTGACCCCTTCCCAACACAGTTCAATCCTGTCTCCCGTACCTGCCTCGGCCTCTGTGACACCATCCCGAACATGGCGAGTTGTGACCCCTTCCCAACACAGTTCAATCCTGTCCCCTGTACCTGCCTCGGTCTCTGTGACACCAACCCGAACATGGCGAGTTGTGACCCCTTCCCAACACAGTTCAATCCTGTCCCCTGTACCTGCCTCGGTCTCTGTGACCCCAACCCGAACATGGCGAGTTGTGACCCCTTCCCAACACAGTTCAATCCTGTCCCCTGTACCTGCCTCGGTCTCTGTGACACCATCCCGAACATGGCGAGTTGTGACCCCTTCCCAACACAGTTCAATCCTGTCCCCTGTACCTGCCTCGGTCTCTGTGACACCAGCCCGAACATGGCGAGTTGTGACCCCTTCCCAACACAGTTCAATCCTGTCCCCTGTACCTGCCTCGGTCTCTGTGACACCAACCCGAACATGGCGAGTTGTGACCCCTTCCCAACACAGTTCAATCCTGTCCCCTGTACCTGCCTCGGTCTCTGTGACCCCAACCCGAACATGGCGAGTTGTGACCCCTCCCAACACAGTTCAATCCTGTCCCCTGTACCTGCCTCGGTCTCTGTGACCCCCAACCCGAACATGGCGAGTTGTGACCCCTTCCCAACACAGTTCAATCCTGTCCCCTGTACCTGCCTCGGTCTCTGTGACACCCAACCCGAACATGGCGAGTTGTGACCCCTTCCCAACACAGTTCAATCCTGTCTCTGTACCTGCCTCGGTCTCTGTGACCCCAACCCGAACATGGCGAGTTGTGACCCCTTCCCAACACAGTTCAATCCTGTCCCCTGTACCTGCCTCGGTCTCTGTGACCCCCAACCCGAACATGGCGAGTTGTGACCCCTTCCCAACACAGTTCAATCCTGTCCCCTGTACCTGCCTCGGTCTCTGTGACCCCAACCCGAACATGGCGAGTTGTGACCCCTCCCCAACACAGTTCAATCCTGTCTCCTGTACCTGCCTCGGTCTCTGTGACACCATCCCGAACATGGCGAGTTGTGACCCTTCCCAACACAGTTCAATCCTGTCCCCTGTACCTGCCTCGGTCTCTGTGACACCAACCCGAACATGGCGAGTTGTGACCCCTTCCCAACACAGTTCAATCCTGTCCCCTGTACCTGCCTCGGTCTCTGTGACACCATCCCGAACATGGCGAGTTGTGACCCCTTCCCAACACAGTTCAATCCTGTCTCCTGTACCTGCCTCGGTCTCTGTGACACCATCCCGAACATGGCGAGTTGTGACCCCTTCCCAACACAGTTCAATCCTGTCCCTGTACCTGCCTCGGCCTCTGTGACACCATCCCGAACATGGCGAGTTGTGACCCCTTCCCAACACAGTTCAATCCTGTCCCCTGTACCTGCCTCGGTCTCTGTGACCCCCAACCCGAACATGGCGAGTTGTGACCCCTTCCCAACACAGTTCAATCCTGTCCCCTGTACCTGCCTCGGTCTCTGTGACCCCAACCCGAACATGGCGAGTTGTGACCCCTTCCCAACACAGTTCAATCCTGTCCCCTGTACCTGCCTCGGTCTCTGTGACACCATCCCGAACATGGCGAGTTGTGACCCCTTCCCAACACAGTTCAATCCTGTCTCCTGTACCTGCCTCGGTCTCTGTGACACCAGCCCGAACATGGCGAGTTGTGACCCCTTCCCAACACAGTTCAATCCTGTCTCCCTGTACCTGCCTCGGTCTCTGTGACCCCAACCCGAACATGGCGAGTTGTGACCCTTTCCCAACACAGTTCAATCCTGTCCCCTGTACCTGCCTCGGTCTCTGTGACCCCATCCCGAACATGGCGAGTTGTGACCCCTTCCCAACACAGTTCAATCCTGTCCCCTGTACCTGCCTCGGTCTCTGTGACACCATCCCGAACATGGCGAGTTGTGACCCCTTTCCCAACACAGTTCAATCCTGTCCCCTGTACCTGCCTCGGTCTCTGTGACACCAACCCGAACATGGCGAGTTGTGACCCTTCCCAACACAGTTCAATCCTGTCCCCTGTACCTGCCTCGGTCTCTGTGACACCATCCCGAACATGGCGAGTTGTGACCCCTTCCCAACACAGTTCAATCCTGTCTCCCGTACCTGCCTCGGTCTCTGTGACACCATCCCGAACATGGCGAGTTGTGACCCCTCCCCAACACAGTTCAATCCTGTCCCCTGTACCTGCCTCG